TGTATTTTGTGAAGCTCAACAATCTTTTGATGCACATCAGAACTATATTCTCTGGTTTTACACATTGTGATGGATGATTCAGGGAATTTAGCCTTTGTCCTCATTTATAAACTCCTGTGAAACAAGAAGTCATAGCTGGACAATTTCATGTTCCTATAGTCACCCTGGTGTGCTTAAAAAAATAAATATTAATGGGAATGTACTTCAGAGATATTTTTCTCATAAACAATTCTAGGGGTGCCAAATTATGGCCAGTGTGTTTTGGAGAAAAACATTTATTTTATAATGTGATTTACCCCCACTTTCAATTCTTTTAACTTCAATGAAAGGTTAGAATTTTGCCAATTTTTTGAATGAAAGATCAAAAGGATAAACAATGCAGATTTATTTTTTACAGCCAGTTTTGATCATATTTACAGGGGTGCCATCAATTTTGACCATGACTGTGTCACGGGGTGTGGTGGAGTGCAGGCTGAGGAAGACAGACTGAAGAGGCAAAGCTCCAATACAAATGCTTTACTTGAACTCTCAAAAGCAGACGGGTACAGGAAACAGGCAGGGATACACTCTCAACACGAGGTAACATAAACATCGACTGACAAGGACTGAGTAAAACAGAGGGAACTAAATACACAGAAGAATCAAACATAATGAGGTGAAGACAGGTGAAACAGATGAACAGGACGCTGAACGGGAGGCTGATGAGGGAGTGAGTTCAGGTGTGCAGACAAGAGGATCATGGGAAGTGTAGTGCTGGAGACGCAGACAGGATGGTGCAGACGAAGGACTGTGACAGAACTCCCCCCTCCCGGGAGGCGTGACCTCACGCCGCAGAACAGAGGAAGGAGGGGGGACGAACTGGGGCCTGAGCGGGGCGTGGCCAGGGCGGAGCAGGCTGAGGGCGTGGCAAGGGCGGAGCAGGCTGAGGGCGTCCCCAGGGCGGAGCAGGCTGAGGGCGTGGCCAGGGCGGAGCAGGCTGAGGGCGTGGCCAGGGCGGAGCAGGCTGAGGGCGTGGCCAGGGCGGAGCAGGCTGAGGGCGTGGCCAGGGCGGAGCAGGCTGAGGGCGTGGCCAGGGCGGAGCAGGCGGAGGGCGAGACCAGGGCGGAGCAGGCTGAGGGCGAGACCAGGGCGGAGCAGATGGAGGGAGGACCCCTGGTGGAGCCGATGGAACTGGGGCTGACGACACCAGGGGGCCGACTGACAGGGGTGGAGCAGATGGGAGAGGAGACCAGGGTGAAGCTGAGGGACAGACGACATTGGGTGCTGAGGAGGGACCGAGGGACCATGGGGACACCGCAGGCTCTGGTGACTGAAGTGACGACACGGGCACAGAGGGACATGGTGAGGGCAGAGGGAGTGAGGGCCGATGGGTAACTGGAGGGAATGAGGAGTCCGACAGAACCGGGGGGGTGACATGACAGGGCGGAGCCAAGGGAAGGAAGTCCAAAGGTGAAGGGAGGATGACGAGGGAGCGCAGGGAATCCGGAGGGTCGAAGGAGCCTGGCCGAGGTGGTGGACTGAGGGGCCAAGGAGGAGCTGAGGGAGGTAGGAGCCACGGGGGAGCCAATGGGACCGGGGGCCGAGGAAGTGTCCAGATGGAGGAGGTGTGAGGCGAAGGCTGGGGATCCAACGACCCAGCTGGGTCAGGGGAGCTGGCAGACGGAGGGGCTGACGGATGCATGATGGGAGGAGGTGGGAGAGGGAGGCTGGGTGGGATCCTGGTCTCTGGGGCAGGCTGGACGATCTCTGGCGCTGGCTGGACGGTCTCTGGGGCAGGCTGGACGGTCTCTGGCGCTGGCTGGACGGTCTCTGGCGCGGGCTGGACGGTCTCTGGCGCTGGCTGGACGGTCTCTGGCGCTGGCTGGACGGTCTCTGGCGCGGGCTGGACGGTCTCTGGAGCAGGCTGGACGGGGCTGGACGGGACCAGCGAAGAAGAGAGCTCGGGCTCGGAGAGGCTGGACGGAGCCAGCGGAGAGGAGAGCTCGGGCTCTGCGGGGCTGGACGGAACCAGCGGAGAGGAGATGATGGCAGGTGTGGTGATGATGGTGGGTGTGTGTGGTTGAGTGGTGCTGTCATCTTCAGCCTCACCAACGGTGAAGGCTGACCCACTCAACCACAACACATGGTCCAGGTATTCGGCGAAGGTTCCTGGAAACGCTGCTGCTGGGGCTTGCTGGTACAGATGATCGTCCAAACCCAGCCAAAAGACTGACTTTAGGACGTCATCTGACCAACTTACCCCAGCAGAGAGCTCCAGGAACCTGCAGACATACTCCTCAGATGAGCGTCCGTCTTGGAATACGTTGAGGGTGGTGAGAGCCGGGGTTAGGGGAAGCCCCATGCTGTCACTGTCAATGGTCAGTCGATCTGTCACGGGGTGTGGTGGAGTGCAGGCTGAGGAAGACAGACTGAAGAGGCAAAGCTCCAATACAAATGCTTTACTTGAACTCTCAAAAGCAGACGGGTACAGGAAACAGGCAGGGATACACTCTCAACACAAGGTAACATAAACATCGACTGACAAGGACTGAGTAAAACAGAGGGAACTAAATACACAGAAGAATCAAACATAATGAGGTGAAGACAGACAGGTGAAACAGATGAACAGGACGCTGAACGGGAGGCTGATGAGGGAGTGAGTTCAGGTGTGCAGACAAGAGGATCATGGGAAGTGTAGTGCTGGAGACGCAGACAGGATGGTGCAGACGAAGGACTGTGACAGACTGTATGTCTGTCTGTATCAGTATGTCTGTGTATGTATATTAGTTTGTCTGTCTGTCTGTATCAGTATGTCCATCTCTCAATATGTCTGTCTGTATCAGTGGGTCGCCTGTCTGTATCAGTATGGCTGTGGATCAATATGTCTGTCTGTATCACTGTGTGTATTTGTATCAGTATGCCTGTCTGTCTGTATATAAGTAGTCTCTCTGGTAATTAAATTGAAATATAATTGTATTCTTGGTAATGTCTCCAAAATTAATAAAATATTTGAAATTATTGTAAATAATTTGTGTTCAAGTCATTTGTTTCATCAGGCAGATTTAATTAATTCAAGAATAATTAGACATGTATTGATTTAACAGTTCGCCTTTGAATGTCTAATCAGAAGTTTGTGTTATTTTGTGCTAAAGTTTGCATATAGGCCAGGATATTTGTTTTTTGGAGGAAAAACGTGAAAGATTAGTGTGTTCCTAATACAAGTACTGTTTTATTTCAGTAAAGGAAGGCCTGCGAGAAACAACAAACAATAATTAATAAGCAAAAATAATTGGTAACAAAAACCATAGGCCTATATTGAAACTGAGAGCGGGTATAGGCTAACTGTCGTCGAGGTGAAACTGCGTATGTGCGGGGTGAAACTGCTAACTGTGGCTCTTCGGCTCTGCAGACTAAGCAAAAATAATTGATAACAATAACCATTAGATCGTTTTAATACTGAACAATATGCGCGGGTAAAACTCCTATGGTAAAACTGCTATATTGAAACTGCGCATGCGCTGGGTAAAACTGCTGGTGTAAAACCCCTGTGTAAAACTGCTGGGTTTTTTTTGTTTTTGTTTTTTGTTTTTGTTTTAGGAGGATCGTTTGTCGAATGTCGATCTTTTTTTTATTGAACTTTTTCTTTTTACAATACGAGATCATGAAATAAATAACATAAAAGCTTCACATAAAGACCTCGTACGTTTTGCTGTACTGTTTTTCAACCCAAGAAGTAACTCACAGTAATTTTTCATTTCTATCTGAAATTTAAAAAAAAAAAATCGGTTTCCCTTTAGCCCATTTTTGTTTGTGTATATGATATTTCCCCATAATCAAACAGGTTAACAACAAAGACACATCTGGTCGTAAACTTGTCTATTAAAATAAAAAAAGACCTTTTTCAGGAAATAAAAATTTCATACCTAACCATTTACAAAGAAAACATTCCATATCCACCCAAACATTTTGCTATAAAGAACAGAACATTAGTTTTGAAATGTTTGGAAATGTTTGATGGGGTGCCATCTCTGTAAAGTTGTACATTTGTAGACAATTTTAATGAGACATTTGTGTAATTAAACAATAAAATTAATAATAGTGTCTGATAGACAAGTTTAGACAATCTAAATAAAGCATACATTCAATAGGGTTTGCCATCTTTTTAAATTATTTGACATTTTTCATTAGACATTTGTGTAATTAAATAGTAGTTATAGTGTCTGATAGTGGACAAGCCATCCATAAATCAAGCGAAACCTTGCAAATTAGCCCTCCAAATTGATAAAGCACAATGTAGCTTGTTATTTTGATGATATGATACATTATTGCATTTAATGTATTATATTTTTAATAATACATTTGCAATGGCAAATTGCCTTCTGTTTATTTGGTAACGATAACAATTTAAAATGTATTTGACAGAACAGGAGGTGTCAGTCATTCATGTTATGTTTTCTATCCTCTCGTGCACGCGTGTGCTCGTGAAGTAGTGTAGTGTAGTAATTTGATAAAGGCAGTTTTTATGCATGTTTTTGTTTGTGCATGTTTTATGTTGCATTACACAGTTTTGACCAGCACAGGTTTTGCAATTATTTTGCAAGCCATTTGGTTAAATCGATTCAATGCATATAGGTTTCTCCCAGCATAGCTTCATATCTTGATTCATGTCTTCGTCGTTGCAGAAGAAAATCAAAAATGAAGTGTGTGGCTCCTCCTCGTCACGTTGCAGATCAACGTGACTTGAGTTCCTGGCCGCGAGCCTGAACGTGACAAGAGAAAAACACTGAATGTGGGTCAAGCGCGCGCAGGGGTTGTGGTGGCGATTTGACCTACTTTCCACATGTGTATGACGATACGATAAGACGTGGAAAAGGTAAGTCAATTTTCAAATATATTTTGACTATTTTGTGTTGGTAGCCATGCATTAAGTAGATAATTTTCTTGTTTTTGACTTGGAGTTACATAATTGTTCTTATTAAATGCAATGAAATGTTGTGCGTGTCACGTGACTGTGGGCAGTTCTCCCATCATAACAAACAACTTACTAGCAGTCAGATGAGCTTGAGAGCTTCGCTTCCTCTGTCGTGTTTGTAGCTCAGGTCGTTAGTTTATGGCATTGATCAGAGTCAATTGCATTGTGCATTAGTAACGGTAGCTGTGGATCTCCCTCATCCAGAGCTCTGCTTTTACTCGAATGGTGAGTTTGTAGCCTATATGTGTATATATATATATAATTTTTTTTTTGACATTGACACATCTTGGGGGATTTTAAATGCCGTTCTTCTGTTTAATTGGTAACGACATTTCTCTCCTTTGTCCATGTTTGACAGGAACATGTCCCTGACACCAGCTGCATGTGATTTTGGGCTGCTGGACAGGCAGAAGGAGGACATAAAACCTCTGGCAGCAGTAATTCGGCGTAACCTCTTTGGCCCTGTGGACCACCAGCAGTTGCAGCAGGACTTCCAGAGGCTCTTCTGCATGAGCGTGGAGAATGCCAAACAGCGCTGGAACTTTGACTTTCAGAGGGACCAGCCTGTCCCCGGCTGTGTCGAGTGGGAAGAGCTGCGGTGCCAGGACGTCCCAGCATTCTACCATAGCTGTGTGGTTAGGCCCGGTATGGCAAAGCAAATGGCGGAAGCAGCTGTTGGAGATGGATCCTGCGCTTGTTCTTCTCCAGCAAAGGCCACAGAGAAATATCTGGAGCTTTGGACCAGAGGAACTTTGAGGGGAACCAAGCCAGAGAAGAGAAAGGCTGCGCTGCTGGGGGTCAAACACAGACAAGCAAACATCACAGGTATACAGTCGCACACTTTATATTCTCAATTTCATTAGGTTAAAGCCAGACTGATGAAAAAATGAATAATGTTTAAAGATGAATAAAGCCTTTCTCTCTTTCAGACTTTTTCAGAGTGTCTAAACGAAGATTTCTTCATCACAAAGCTTCACCAGGACAGTAAATTTTACTTGGACTTTTTTGTATAAATGTACATACAATATTTGCTCATGTAGCTCTTCTAACTGACCAGCAAATAAGGCTTAATAGGCTATGTATATATAATATATATATTATATGTATGCTGTACCTATTAAAAATCTTAACCTCTTGTACTTTTTAAAATTTTATTGTTTCAACTGTTTGACTATTTTAAATTAGATCCAAATTCAGATCTATAGTACCTAAGTAATAATACTTAGAAGCAATTGAATTCCAATCATTGAATAAGCATTCTCTCAGTATAAAAGTATAAAAATGTTCCAATGCTGTGTTACACAGTCTAATTTGAAAATGTAGGATAGTGCATTTTTCGTTTTTTTTTTTTTTTTTTTTTTTTTTTTGTGCACTGAATATACATACATACATACATTTATTTGTATATAATATTTTATATACATTAAAATTATATATACTGTATACAGTATATACAAGTACTGTGAACATTTACAAAAATGCACTACAAACGTTTGGTTTTTTGCATTTCTCAGATTCAAAATGCATTGATCCTTTTTAGTGGCACCAGTGCCGGCTTACTCTTATTCTGTCCCAAGTTTCTTATTTATATTCCTCTTTTTATATATTACAAAAAAAGGTATGTTTAACCTGAGCCATTCATGTTTTTCTTGAAGCATATACATTTTGGTATAAAATAAAAGTGACTATTATTACAGTTGCTAGCAAACACAAGGTATGCTTTAATATCTTTGAAGTTAATTAAAAGGAGATTTTGTAAATGTTTTTAAATGGATATTGCCCTGAGGAGTGTCTGACCACGTTTCCTATGATTGTGCTTGAGGCTCCATCTTGCCAAATTGGGGGGAAATTTTATATGTTGAAAAGTTTGAATCTGTAGTATTAGCAAAAATTGCAAGGACCTTTTCCATTAATCATTTATACCATACTTTTTACAATACTGTATTTTTGTCCTGTGCATGTGTGATTTACTCAAAAATATGCGTTATTTGTTCAATTAGCTATTTGTTTGAAATTATTTGGTATTAAAGAGGCAGCTGATGCCCAAAGTAATTGCTTACAATAAATAGAAAGCCTTAAAACCCTTTGAACTGCTGTCAGGAAGATCAAAATTAAGCCACTAAAACAAAACCACATGCCGAAATATTAAACTGCAATTTAAACAGAATCTGTAAAGGAGAATTCCAGTTTCAGTTTTTTAAAGACAGTTTGTTCAGGCAAATAAACATGTTAAACATTTCTGATACATTCACTGACATCCACTTAAAGCAGTGCATAAAATAAAATAAGAAAATAATGCAGTAATAGAAAATATTAGTACTCTACCTCATGAAATGACAATGACCTTCATTTTATACACACACATGTAAGAAAACAAATATGTAAAATGAAACAATTTTGTTGTTTTTTGTTGTTGTTTTTTTCGCTCAGAAGTATAAAAAATGACAAGGAATTATCTCGAACTTCATTTCAGGTTTACAGGACGTTGTGTGTACTTTTATTGTTCAACTTTTTGAGAAAACTCACGTTCACTTAACTCTGTCATTCTGTGTTTTCAAGTGCCTCTTGATATCACCAATGAACTATTGTATTTTGCACTATGTGGTCATAAGATGTGATGCCAGCTGACTCACCCCACTTCTTTTGTTACAGATCTGTCAACAGTGTTAGGTATTCAGTGCATGATACCTCTTGTATTCACAGTGTATGATTGTATCCATGTATATGATTGAATGTTACTTATGGTAAAACATGTTAATACTAGCTGATTTGGATGTACGAGTTTGTATAGTATGTAAAAATCACTGATAAAATGTTTGTTAATAATATTTTTGGAAGTATGTCTTTATTTGATTGTAATAAAAAACACTGTGTATCTCAGAATACAAATGAACATAATACAGATTTTCAGAACACTTTGGTACTTTTACAAGTGCTATGTTTTCACTGATCACAACTCCAAACTAATCACTTAATTCAAAACCAGTTAATTCAAAACCATTTTGCATGTCTTCTTAAGGTCTACATATTTTTGTTGACATAGGCCTATACTTATTTTACAATAAGTTTAATAAACTAAACACAACAGACTTGTCTTTGAATTGAATTGAATTTGTCTTTAATTCCAGACCAGTTTCAAATGTAGCCAAGGTTTTAGAACAACTGGGTTTTAAACAATTACAAACTTATACTACATTGAAATCAATAGTTTGAGAGTTAACTCTTCTATCAGGATTTAAGCCATGCCACATAGACAGTATTGGGCTGTTAAATTTATTTTCAATCATTGAACAATGCTCCTTGTCCTTGCTCCGTTATTTTTTTCGCTTAATTTGTTACCTGTGGGGGCTGTCTTCCGAAAATACGTAGCATTTCATTACTAGCGGATGATACTCAGATTTATGTGCCAGTGAGACAGTCAAAAACAATTTAAATTGCTGAAATTCAAGCTGAACTATACAAAACCAAGCTAATTGTGTTCAACCCTGGCAGTGATGGTGAGTCAATCTTTAAAATCAACCCCCTCTTAAATTAAAAATGGAGTTAAAAGTTTTGAGAACCAGTTTTTTTTCCTTTTTTTATGAAGCAAGCAATACAAATACAAATAAATACATAAAGAAACGCAACATTGAAAAAAACAAATATAGCGTAAACCAATATAAATGTATAAAATATAAATATATAAAAGCCAATATAAAAGCAAGTATCGGACAAACAAACTAGTTGATGACAAACAAGATTGCATAATACAAGAGAAAACAAATGAGCCAACAAATAAACAAAAGCAAAAAACATAAACACACACACATATATATATATATATACACATATACATACACACATACATACACACACACATACAGTACTGTACATATACACACATACATACATACATACATACATACCTATACATACATGCATACACACACCAAAATATATATATATATAATTAAAAAAGGAAAAATAAATAAACAAAATAGAAAATAAGATGCATATACAGAGTAAAAGGAATATTTTAGATGGATAGATGAAAGGAAAAAAACAAAGGAAAAATGAAAAAAAATATAGAAATTAAAAAGTTAAAATGGCTATTGCATGTTTAATTGATTTCCTGCTGTTTATGCACATTCCAGAGGAATGTGAACATGCACCTTTCACTCCTAGATGTCTTTTAACACCAACGCACATTGGCTGGACCTGCCGTACCTCACGGAGAACTAGTTTTCTTTTTGCTAAGATTAAAACATTTTTATCAGTTTTAGATTTTGAGAAAACAATTACAACTTTGGTCTTCACACAATCTGTCCAACAATATGCACTCACCTAAAGGATTATTAGGAACACCTGTTCAATTTCTCATTAATGAAATTATCTAATCAACCAATCATATAACAGTTGCTTCAATGCATTTACAGGTGTGGTCCTGGTCAAGAAAACTCCTGAACTCCAAACTGAATATCAGAATGGGAAAGGAAGGTGATTTAAGCAATTTTGAACGTGGCATGGTTGTTGGTGCCAGACAGGCTGGCTGAGTATTTCACAATCTGCTCAGTTACTGGGATTTTACAAAGAATGGTGCGAGTCCTGTGGGCGAAAATGCCTTGTTGATGCTAGAGGTCAGAGCATCCCGACTGATTCAACTGGGTCGACTGATTCAAGTTGATAGAAGAGCAACTTTGACTAAAATAACCACACATTACAACCGAGGTTTGCAGCAAAGCATTTGTGAACACAACACGCACCGCCTTAAGGTGGACGGGCTACAACAGCAGAAGACCCCATCGGGTACCACTCATCTCTACTACAAATAGGAAAAAGAGGCTACAATTTGCAAGAGCTCACCAAAATTGAACAGTTGAAGACTGTAAAAATGTTGCCTGGTCTGATGAGTCTCGATTTCTGTTGAGACATTCAGATGGTAGAGTCAGAATTTGGCGTAAACAGAATGGGAACATGGATCCATCATGCCTTGTTACCACTGTGCAGGCTGGTGGTGGTGGTGTAATGGTGTGGGGGATGTTTTCTTGGCACACTTTAGGGCCCTCAGTGCCAGTTGGGCATCGTTTAAATGCCGCAGCCTAGCTGAGCATTGTTTCTGACCATGTCCATCCCTTTATGACCACCATGTACCCATCCTCTGATGGTTACTTCCAGGATAATGCACCATGTCACAAAGCTCGAATCATTTCAAATTGGTTTCTTGAACATGACAATGAGTTCATTGTACTAAAATGGCCCCCACAGTCACCAGATCTCAACCCAATAGAGCATCTTTGGGATGTGGTGGAATGGGAGCTGGATGTGCATCCATCTCCATCAACTGCAAGATGCTATCCTATCAATATGGGCCAACATTTCTAAAGAATGCTTTCAGCACCTTGTTGAATCAATGCCACATAAAATTAAGGCAGTTCTAAAGGTGAAAGAGGGTCAAACACTGTATGGTGTATGGTGTTCCTAATAATCCTTTAGGTGAGTGTATTTACTAATATATACTCCCCCCAGATCCTTGAGATCTTCAACCATCTGACATTCATGTGTTAGTAGGACTAAATACAAACATAAAGGAGACAGAGCTTGCTCACGAGTGGGTCCAAAACTTTGGAATGATCTTCCCTTTTCTATTAGATCAGATCCAAATCACTAGCTACTTTCAAACTTAGGTAAAAATCACAACTGTTAACCGCTGTGAAGTGGTGACTGTGTCTGTTTTATGTAGTTCTGTGTAATTTATGTGTATTAATGTTGTTTTTTGACTGTGAAGCACTTTGGGCAACTCGTGTTGCACTAAATTGTGCTATATAAGAATAAAAATGAATGAATATAATGAATTGTTGACCTTGCTCTGGCAGAGCGGGTTACGCTCTTGATGGAGTCGTAACTCCATCAAGAGTTACGACTAGTAACTCTTGATGGCTGCTCTGTCAAATTAGGAACCTGGGTTTGATAGCAATTTGTCATAAAACCACATTTTTTCATCTTAAAAATATTTCTAATTTATGACATATGGTCAACTCTATACACGATGTGATTTGCCTGACCAGAGTTTGGTTTTTCCGCTTCGAAAGCCAACGGAGAGTTGCTAGACCACACTTTGCTGCAAAATAATTTTTGCTGCCGCTAGGGTGTGTCTAGATTTCTAGGCTACATGTGCAGGTACAATTTGCTCTGAGTGTTCAATTTCCAGATGTCTTCTGTTCTGGGCCAGCTGCCTTGACATAAATGACAGCAACTGTACTGTGCAACAAGTGAGAGCAAGAAACACAAGGCCAAGCGAACAAGATGGCAGCACTGTGTTTGTCTTGTCTGATCTGCTGATCTGCAGTCTTCTCCTGTATGTTTAAATGTTGTGTGTTTTATCTCAAGAAGGCATTTTA